ACAACACAGGTTGAGAACCGCTGCTTTAGATGAATATTTGGCAAACAATGAATTCATTTTTGGCATAGTAGACTCAAATGTTTGGGGGGAAACACCTAGAATATGGCTCCTAACATACCCTCAGACACAGGTGAGAAGAATGTGACCTTACAGATATTGTCAGTGAACAACTCCCTGACCACTGGCCATGCTGGCTAGGGGGTGATGAGAGTTGAAGACGAACAGCAACCGTGAAGCCACTGGTTCCCTATCCCTGGTCTAGAATGAACACAAGAGGAAGAGCATTTTTTAGACATGACACTAAGAATGGCTTTCGCATCCCTGCTGCATTACTTGTGCTCTAGAACAGAGTGTTCTTTTAAAAAGGAAAACTCAAATATACAATCCAATGGATGTGGCTCATTCCTTCCATTTACAAATGCAGGAAATTCAAAGTTCTCCACAAATAGAAATAGTGAGGGAGGTCCACATGGAAGAACATCTGTTCAGTTGTGGACCAATCAAGCGACCGGATGCTGTTTACATAGGGCAAAACCGGGGACCTGCTGCCCTCCAGATGTTGTTGGATGCCAACTCCCATTAGCCCCAGCCACAATGGGCAGTGGTCAGAATGGATAGTGCCTAGGGGGCAACATATTAGTCCCCACTGACATATGGGAATACTGCATGTCAAATTTGTGACTGTTTTATCTGGCCTAATAGGTATGGCTTCCTACAAAATCCTGGGGTAGGTCTTCTGGATCTGTGGCCTCTCTGACAAAATACAATTTCCAGAGTTCTCTCAGGACGTGGAATGACTATTAAGCTACTTGATGTATTATTAAACTAGTCAGTGGCAGAACATCTGCTCTGCATTCATAAGGTCCCTGGTTCAATCCCCAGCATCTCCAGCGTATGCTGGGCATGTAACCCTGCCTGAAACCCTGCAGAGCTGCTACCAATCAGTGTAGACAATACTGAGCTAGATGGACCAGTCGTCTGACTCAGTATGAAGCACTTTCTGTTGAACCTGTAGGTACCAACTCTCAACAGTAGTGGAGAAGTTGACATAACTTTATGCTAATAAGCAACTTTCCTCCATTCCTCATTCTGAGTGCCAAGTGTTTGAAGACCAGGACATTTGCAAGAAAACCAGAATGCTTGTTTACAAAGCCATTGTACTACCAACCTTACTATATGCTTGTGAAACCTGGACCACTTACAAACGCCATCTCCAACTCCTGGAAAGATCCCATCAATGGTGTCTCCGAAAATATTTACATATCACTTGGGAAGACAGATGAACTAATGGCAGTGCACAGTGTCAAAGCAATGATTCTTCAACATCAACTTCGTTGGACTGGTCATGTTGTGCAGATGCCTGGTTATCGTCTTCGAAAGCAACTATTCTATTCCAAACTCAAAAATGGAAATCGTAATGCTGGTGGTCAACAAAAGAGGTTGAAAGACTCTCTCAAGGCAAATCTTAAAAAATGTAGTATAAACACCAACAATTGGGAAACACTGGCCTGCGAGTGCTCCAATTGGACAACAGCCTTTACCAAAGGTGCCATGGACTTTGAAGATGCTTGAACTCAGGATGAAAGGGAGAAACGTGCTAAGAGGAAGACATGCTTGGCAAACCCTCACTGTGATCAACTCCCGCCCGGAAACCTATGTCCCCACTGTGGAAGGACGTGTGGATCCAGAATTGGCCTCCACAGTCACTTATGTACTCACTGTTAAGACTGTCTTCATGAAAGGCAATCTTACTCGGCTATGAGTGATCGTCGAAGAAGAAAGAAGAAGCATCCAATTTGTCAAGAATTTTGAGGGAAATCATGTTTTGATTCATTTTAAATGAATCTTCCTCAGGAACAACAAATCTCCCTTTCTCTCTCTCTTTTTTTAAGTGGACATTGAAACCCCATATTTTCAGTGGGGGAAATTGCCAGTATGAATGGAGCTTAAATGGTTGACATGAGCCTTCTGCCCTTGGCACAGTATGTAAAGGTGAACAACCATTTTTTGTGCTTTCCCTTGGTCATGCAGAATGTTTTTCTTTTTATCTACTTCAGTGTGTTGTCAGACAGTCCTACCTGCTTCCTTCTTTTCTTTTCTTTTTGATTTGATGATCAGCATTTTGCTTTGATGCTACAATAATAAACCCCAATCAAGAAGAGGTCAAAGGTCTACTTTAGAACCTTTGACCACAAGGTCCCCAGATTAAAACCACACAATGATCACATTCCTGGGGAAGATAACTCATGCCACAAAATAAAAGGGGAAATGATTTTTGCCCATAAATACTGTAGTTGTGGAAGGGCAATACAGAACTGGCTTGGCTCCACATTGACACTTAGTTGGAAGGACAGTGTCTCCCTTCATAGAAAAGTCAGTTACATTCCATGTTCTCTGTGATATTTTTGTGTTAACAAGAGACAGAACTCAGGGCTGCTTCATTCTCAGTGACTTCCATAGAAAGCTTAGGAGGGCAGAGGGCAGGACAATGTTTGGATGAAGTGCAGGCTGGAATGGGATGGGACACTGCCACACCCACCTCTGTCTGCCCTTAGCCCGCCCCTCTACCTGCCTGCCCTCCATTGGCACTGCTTGTCAATTTCCTCCTCTTCCTTTGTCTCAGGGTTGCCCTTGTGGAACTCACCAGGGAGTTTTGTGGCAACAAAACTAGAATTAATTGGCTCCGCCTGCCATTGGTTCTTCCTTGTTATTGGCTCTGCTGTTCATGTGTTCTGCCTTCACCTAAAGAATTCTGGGAGCTCTAGTTTGTCCAGGATGCTGACAGTTAGGAGACCTGCCCCCACTCCCCTCACAGAATGACAGTGCCCAGAGTGGTTTACGAGTCAATCTCTCTTCGGGCAAAACTGGGAATTGGAGCTTTGGGAGGGGAATAGTGGCCAGCACTTTTAATGAGCTACAGCTCTCAGAATTCATTCTGGGAAGCTGTGACTGTTTAAAATTGTGCCATAATGTTTTAAATGTATGGTGCGAATGCAGCCTTTGTAGGACTTCATGTTCATTTGCATGTAGGGATAGCTAACATGAGGGCTCCTATATTGTTAGGTTCTTGGATGAATAAGAGGTGTGTGTGGAAGTCCCTGTAACTCCCCTCTCCCTTGACACCTGCCCATGCTCATGACATTTTCATGCCACAATACGATAAGGTGTGGGAAGGTTTTTTTGCTGCAAGATACCAACAGAGCCGCTCTCTGAGCATGTATGTCCATGGATAACCTGGTCCCACCATCCACTGTCCATTTTAAATTCCCATTCCTGATGCAACATTGCACTGGTGCCATTGTGGTAAAATGTAAATGGTTGTCTTGCCACCACCAGATAATCCAACAGCTTGGGGCCCAGTAGAGGCTGGTTTATTTGGGCAAAAGGGGTGCTGCCCCATTAACCTGAGTCTGCCCTTGGGCAGTCCCCACTGGCCTGATTCCTGACTTACAGCCTGTCAGGAGGCGATTCTCTTTGCCATTGGTTCTAGATCTATCTCCTGTTGGGTGTCCCGCTTTCCACAACACTGCTGGAAAACACTAACTGGTCTTCATCAGTGAGCCCATTCTCATGTTCTTTCTCATTATAGCAACAACTAAAGGATAGCTTTCATTGCTGTTTTCAGATTCATTTAAAAGTGCTATGATTAAAGGGGAATCAGTCGAGACCACAGTAACATTTGGGACCCTTCCTCCATTCTGTGTAGGGTTTGAATTGGTTCATTTGCTTTTGGCTCTACCAAGTCCTCTTTCAGGAGGCAGCATTCAACTAGGGCTGTAGTCCAGTAAGAGAAATATTAGTCAATGAATGGCAGCAGCTAAAGAATCAATTAATAAATAAAATATGCAGAAATCCACATATGAGGAAAAACATTGATTGGTTCAAGAAGGAAACACCCTTTGGTGGTTTTTTTCATAACTCACACATCCAGCAAGCAGGCACCACATCTGAGAAGAAGCATTCTTTCCTCTCTGATATACATGGAAGGAATGCTTCCAATAAGATATCACATTACCTGCTGGGTGGTTGTTTTTTTGTTAACTTATTAAAAATAAGTTAACAAATTAAAGACCTGCTACCTGCAACCTGATTAATCAAGGGTGCATTTTTCATTGATCCAACCAGTTTTAATAGATCCAGGGATGGGGGACCTGTGGTCCTTCAGATGTTGTTGGACTCCAACTCTCATCAGCCCCTAGCTCACAGGGCCAGTGCTCAGGGATGATGGGAACTGTAGTCATAGGTTTCCCCATCCCCGATCTAACCAATGAATCAAATATAGTAGTGGGACTGATTTCTGAGTGAACATGCATAAGCTTGTATTGCAGATGTGGAAGCCTGAGTTTCAGCTATCTACTGGTCCATGTGAATCTGGAGTAACTGAACGACTAGAGTTCATTAAGGCTGAGTAAGGGCTTGGGGAAAAGCCATAGGAACAAAGATGAGGACATAGGAAGCTGCTATTGGCCCGTCTAACTCAGTACCGTCCAGTCTGATTGGTCACTGATCTCCAGGATTTCACACAGGAGCTTTTCCCAGCTGTCTAGAGATGCCAGGGAACCTGAGACCTTCTGCATGCAAAGCAGATGCTCTGCCACTGAACTACAGCCCCCCCCCGCATTGCTTTTTCTACAGTGACTCGACTGACATTTCAGGAGGGTCCCAAGGGACATGACAGATTTCTCTCTCTCTCAAAGACCTTCCTAATTAACCCAGATTGGGACAACGGAGCGCTGCATATATCTGTCAAGTAGATATAAACATAAGGAACACCCAACAGATGCCTGCCAATCACATGAGTGGGGGGGGAGGAGGAAAGTGGAGAATTTGAGAATGAGTTATATTACATTTTTTAAAAACAAAGAACACCCACCCTAATGTTTTGTGCTCATATCAGTAAATGAAGTTAAATGAAACTGTGTGTCTCGTAAGAACCTTTTGCTCATTTTTGTTAAAAACAAAATGTTACTACTAATCTAAATGAAACCCTCCCCACTAACTCATGCATCTACTTCGTCATTTATTTAAAATACTATCATTATGACATGAGCCTTCGCTCTTTGTCTCTCTCCACAGTCTTACTTTTCACCAGCTACTCATCTCCCCCCTGCCCCTTCTCTCGCCCAGTTTCATACAGTACAAAGGCTATAAACTAATGTACCAGTCTATGGGCTTTTATGGGGCGGGGAAGGAAAGGGGGGGCATGGAACGCAGGAAAGAGGAACTATTTGCTTGGGGGCCACTGTTACAGGAAAAGGTCTCACAGTCCGGTTGGCTGTTGGTCCACAACTAACATGTTTCTCCGACCTTTTTTGCTGCATGGGTCAATACCCCCCCTCAAAATGGCGGTGATGTTGGTGGCTCCAGGCATCTGAGAGAGGCTCCAAAAGGTTAATAGGTTTCATGGTGTTCATCTTGCTTTCCTTTGCGATGGCGGAATCAAAATGGAGGACTGTTGATGCCATGTGGTTGGGCGTTGCCACGTTCCTCCTGAGCTCAATGCTAGTGCCATGATATTTATTTATTTTTTCTGTGGATGATCTGGCAGCAGCCTTGAAATTTCATTTTTTTTTAAAAAAATGAAAGTCTCTCTTAATTTAACACTCCTGTTGTCACAGAGCCTGAAGTCAGCATGAAGGTAGAGCTGAGGAAAATATGGCTGTAAGAGTCTGAGCTGAGAAATCAGGGGGCACGTGAGGGTTTGGGGAGTCATCTGTGAAGATGGGCATTCTTTTCAGGGTTCCCCCTTGCTTTCCCTTGAATTTCATGAGGCAAAATAAGAACTCTGCATAGAGTACAGCCTGTCAATGGGGTTTCCAACCCTGGCCTGCATGGAGTTTACTTCTGAGGAGGCCAGAAAACAGTCGCTCAAGCTAGTTAGAGAGGTATCACTGTCGATGTCGTGGAAAATCGAGTCATTCCCTGTGAGGCACAAAAAACAGCAACACAAGCACATTAGTACACGCTGAATTGCTCACTCAGAGAAAGAGACCTGGGGTTCCCTTATCACCTCATGCAATGGAAGCCCATCTGCACACACAGCAGAATAACGTGATATGGGTTTTCTTGAGCCATGCCACATCGCACTGTATTTGGAGGGAAATCTCATGCTTGATTGCTGCCCCTACATTTTGCAGAAAATGAGTATGCCAAGGGCAGCCTGACATGCTAATTCCCCTCCTCTCTCCCTTTCTCCTTCTCATTGCTATTTTTCCATGGGCATGGTTGGGGGCATCTGCAGGAATTTTTGGTGGACAGGGAGAGTAAAAGTTCTAAAAATGATAGAAACTTTGGCTGAATTCACAGGGCAGTTTAATCTGACATTCCCCTAACAGTTTCCCACCTTGGATTTGAGCTTTCATGAAATGTAAGAAGTACTTCTGGCGCTGTCATGTAATATGGCAAGTTTAGCACTCATTCCCCGTATTATTTGCAAATAACATGGAAATGAATGCTAAACTTATGCTACGTTCCACTGTATTTTGAGAAGTGTCTTTTATGTTGTACGAAAGCTCAAATACCGTATTTACTCAAATCTAGTGCTCACCTTTTTTGGCCAAATTAATTTTTTTGCGAAAATTAAGGTGTGCATTAGATTCGATGGCACATTTACATTTGCCAGCAAATACCTTTTTTGTTTGTTTCAAGGTTCTGAAAACTGAGCTGTGCATTAGATTCGATGGCACATTAGACTCGAGTAAATACGGTATAATGTGGAAATTGACAATTATTGAAACATCCGGGAAACAGAATAAACTGCTATGTGAATTCAGTCTAACTTATTAAAAACAAAATGAAAGCCAGGTGTCTGGAGATTATGGTTCATCCACCGTAAGGGGGAGGCAGCTGCCCCTCTTGTGGACACCAGTGTAACCAGTGTTATTTTTCATGTGCTATATCACTGTAGGTGGAGGAAATCTTATGTTTGAGCAAACACAGTGAAAATTCTCCCTGTATGCAGCAACGGAGCCCATTAGGGAGAAAGCTAGCCTAAAACCCTGCTCCCTCTCAGGCTAATTTTCTACAGCATTCCAGCCAAGCAGTCTGGAGTGGTACAGTCCTGGCAAAGGATTTAGGGGAGGTGCGGGGGTACATGGTGGGAAAGATTGGGGAAAGGGATATTGCCCTAGTGTGAGTACTTGCACTGGTTTCCGCTAGTGTACTGGATTAATTAAACCCAGCCCGGTGAGTCTAAGTTAGTCCCATCCATTATTTTCAATGGGTTGGCTCTGAGTGGGACTAACATTGGCTGCAACTCCAAAGCTTTATTTCTCTGGGCTCCTAATCACTGCAGAGTTTAGTGACTGCATTGCGAGGGTGGAGAAGAGGTGAGGATTTGCCAAGGACTTGTTTGCATTGCGGTCTGCAGCATTTAGGAAGGGCTTTAAAAAGAAAAGAAAAATCAAAAAGAGAACGTTCCTTTTCTAACTGACATGAGTAAACAATCTGTGGGAAGCTGTTTGGTCACAGAGAAGAGATTCTGCATTCCATCCCAGGAAACTGTGGCTCCCAGGAATGGCGGTATCAAATGGTGTCAATGGCAAATATGGAACTGGGAGAAGAGCAAAGCTTTTGCTCACTCTCTCCATTAACGGAAGCTGCCCACTCTTCAGTCCACCCTGTGACCTCCCCTACCAGTTTAACACACAGTTCCTCCACTGTGGCAGGAGATAGCTTTCTGGACTAGATGAGCCTTTGGTCTGATCCATCAAGCCAAGAGTCATTATTTTACCAGTGGCCTGGTGGACTCAGTGTGGAATATAGAACAGCAGGTGCCTGCTCAGTCCCACAGACTGACTAGGTGGCCTCGGATCTGTCGCGATCTTCCAACCACAAATCCTTCATCTCCTGATTGGGAATCTTAAATGTTACACCCCACACACTGTTGTTGTGTGACGATTGAGGAGATAAGGTCTGCACATCAATTTGCATTGCTAAGGAATTGTATAAGCTAGGTGATAACTCAGCCTTCTGCCAAAACCACATCTGACTTTGCATTCCTCATGATGAGGTAGTGGAGAGACAGGTTATTGAGGGTGCTGGGTTCTTTTCTGCCTCCTTAGAATATGAAGCAAGCATCTAGACTACATACTTTGGTTGGCTTCATATCAGTTTAGCTGCGATGGCTCCATTGTCTCCTTCCCATGAACAGAGGCAGATTTAGGGAAGTGCGACCGGTTTGGTTGCACTGGGTGAGGAGCCTTGTGGGCGCCACCAGGGATACCTCAACTAATATTTAGAAGAAAGCATGAGAAGTGGGGAGGGCTGAATTCTGACATCAAACAGGGCACCATGGAATTTGAGACCCCAAAGTCTGCCACTGCCATGAATCCTGGGAAGCAGAGTTTGGGGAAGGTGAAAAGAATTCTCTGGAGAATATCCCATGGTCCCCTCCCTCACAGAGCTGAAGATCCCAAGGCCTCCATCAGAGAGTTACAGTTTAAACAAATATTATAGGCATGCCCCAAACCCCCATGAGACCTACTAGGAATGCTGGATTGACAATATATCACATAAGTAGGGCATTGTGATGTCAAAGGTAAAACAGCTAATAATGTTCAAGTCTGGACCATCTCCAGAAGCAAATGGTCAGCTTTTGAACCATTTTGCAAGCTGCTGGGCTAGTTTAAAAACCAGTTAATACAGGCACAAGGGCTGTGGTGACAGCAGTGACAGCAGGAAGATTCCTCCTGCCTCCCTTGGTTTTTTGTTTTCCTTCCAGAAGAAATTATATTTCCCAAGATCCCTGACATTTAGATCACTATCATAGTGGCAACCCAAAAACCTGAGCTAGAGGGTTAAGGAGGGCCCTGGTATCTTTGTGTGGCTTCTGCCAGCCAGCTAAGAAGATTTAGGGAGGTTTTGGGTGAGGAGGGTGAGGGCGGATGGGAAGTTAAGGGAAGAATTCAGAGCCTGCTACATTTCCAGTGGCGTTACTAGAAGTATGATGGAGCATGAAAGGGCTCATAATTCTTCATTCAGAAATGTCATTGCTTTGAAATACTATATAAAGGAGCAGAAGTCTTTCTGGTAGAGTCCAGCACAAGCAGAACAGAAAGGAGAGGCTTCCAGAGGCTCAATGGAGACTCTTTGCTTGTTTTGGACCCTGGTGGAAGGAACTGTATTTCCTCCAGAAGAAGAGCAAAATGGTGCCTTGGATACAAACGATATCTAATCTTAACATCTGGATCAAGTTGCTCCCAGGGCTTTCCACCCTGTAAAATGACAGGGAGACCTCTCAAGAGTGTGGGCTTGGGAATCCTAGACCGAAGCTTCCATGTTCTACCTTGGACATGCCAACAGCAGCTGGTTCCCAGTGAGTCTTACCATAGGGGTTCATGTGGTCACCTGGCATTTGTGGCGGTGTGAGACCTTGCTGGAAGGGGTCAGTGGCATAGCTGCTCTGATCCATCGCTACAATCTGCTGCTGTGGCGGTGCTAGCGGCGTATAAGAGGTCATCATCCCCTCCATTCGGTTGGACATCACTTCTGCAAAGAAAGACAATTGACTTCATCTAAAGCTCCTCCTGTGAGATTGATGAAATTACAGTGCTCTCGGCCTTTGAAGTTGCCCGTTTTCTTTCCATTTGGGGCTGAGTTTAAAAAGGGGGGAGGGGGCAAGCACCACAAACATTTTCATCACCATGAAGCAACACCCTCCCCAGTCCAGTGATTGGAAGGGACTGACTGCAGGGAAAGGGGATAACAGTGTTCACATTTTCAGGAAGTACCGTATTTTTCGCTCTATAGGACGCACTTTTTCCCCTCCAAAAATTAAGGAGAAATGTGTGTGCGTCCTATAGAGCGAATGCAGGCTCCTTGGCTTCAGCGATAGCAACACAAAGCCTCCAAAGCGCAGAGGGAGCGCTCCCTCCGTGCTCCGGAGGCTTCGCGTTGTTTTGCTGAAGCCTGGAGAGCGAGAGGGGTCGGTGCGCACCGATTGCTCTTGCTCTCCAGGCTTCAGGGATAGCTGCCTGAAGCCTTCGGAACACAGCGCGAGTTCCCGCTGCGCTCCGCAGGCTTCGGGTTCCTTTTGCTGAAGCCGGGAGAGCAAGACTCTCCTGGCTTCAGCAGAGAGGGAGAGCTGCGCAGCGCCCCTTCAGCCAAGCGGGAGGAGAAATGGAAGGGGCTCTGTTTCTCCTGCCGCTTCACTGAAGGGGCGCTGAGCAGAGAGGGGGAGATTTTTTTTTTCTTGTTCTCCCCCTCTAAAACAAGGTGCGTCCTATGGTCCGGTACGTCCTATAGGGCGAAAAATACGGTACACTGCCATCTAGTTCAGCACCCTGTTCTCACAGGGCCCATCCAGATTCCTGGGGGGAACCAACATGTAGGATCCAAAGGCAAGACCACTTTCTCCTCCTGTGGCTTCATGAAACTGGCATTAATGCCTCTGATCATGGAGGCACAGAACTAGCCTTGTCCTCCATGAATGTATCCAATCATTTTAAAGCCATCCAAGGTAGTGGCTATTACTGCCTCCTGTGGGAGTGAGTTCCATAGTTTAACTATGTACTGCTGGATCTTCCAACACTCAGCTTCAATAGATGCCCATGATGAGTTCCAGTGCTGGGGGTGGGGTGGGGAGGATCTTATCTCTCTCTTATTTTTTCCATGGCATGCATAATCTACAAACTTCTGTCATTTCATCTCTTACTTGCCTTTTCTCTAAACTAAAAAGTCCCAAATGTTGCAACCTTTTCTTCTCCACCCCCTTGATCATTTTGGTTGCCCTTTTCTGAACTTTTCCAACTCTACAGTAAACTATCCTATTTGAGCTGGGGCGACCAAAAAATTCACACCCTTTTCCAATTGTGATCACACCAGAGATTTGCAATACAATTCTCAACATCTTCTCCAAACTCCAGCTACTAAGATTATTTGGGGGAAGCTATCCCTATTAAATTGGTATCAAACCAATGTGCAGCATAGGTGAACCCTAAGTCTTTTGCGGCTGCATTCCACACACACACACAAAATTTATTTTCGAACAGTCTAGGATCTGGATTTGATTTGACACCTGCTGCAGAATAGTCCTGACTCACAGCCCCTTCTTCTCATCCTCCACAACCACAAGCCCAGAGTTCCTTCACTTCCATCAGATATTGTTTGAAGGGAGCTATTTGTTTCTGCCAGGGTGGAAGGAGAAGTAGCTAATTGTTTCCTTGAAATTCACTCCCACGATCCCAGGCTGTCTACTCCGACATGATGCAATGCCAGACAGGTGATGAAGACTGTTGCATCGCTCATCCATATGCAGTGCTTTGGGGTTGCACATCCTATCCTGAGTGTTGCAAGTGGTTTGGGGTGGAGACTCCTGTTTTGTCCAGTCCTTGCCACAGCAGTGTGCCAGCCCGAACTGGCGCCACTGGGTGCCAGAGAGGCAAGAACAGATAAGAACACCATGCTAATGGGATGGTGAAGCAGCAGCAATGTGGGGGTGTAATTGCCAAGAGGTCTAGCCGGTTGGGGCCCTTCTTCTCCTCATTTCAAAGTCCAGCTTGGAAACTAGCCATCATTGCTTTGAGTTGTTGTTGGGTTTTCTTCTGGTCGTTGTTTGTTTGTTTTATATTCAAGCAACGTATACATTTATGGCTGTGCTCTGCCTCCATAGTCAGAGGCTGTATGCTTCTAAATATCAATTGCTGGAAGCCACAGGAGAGGAGAATGCTCTTGTGATATGGTCTTGCTTGCTGATTTCCCGCAGGAATCTGGTTGGCCACTGGGAGAACAGGAAACAGGACTAGATGCACTATTGGCTTGATACAGCAGGGTTCTCCTTATGTTCTTAACTAGCTTTTAACAAGAGCCATATTTTGAACATTAGAAGAGCCTGGCTGCTGTTTCAGGCCAGAGGCCCAATCTAGTCGGGTGTCCTGTTCTCCCAGTGGCCAACCAGATGGCTGTGGCCAACCACATGCCAATGGCCAGCTCAAGAGTTCTCTCCCCAAATAATTCCCAGCAACTGATATTCCTATTGCCTCTGACAGTGGAGGCAGAAGATAGTCGTGGTGGCTAGAAGGTTTATCTTCCATGAGGATAAATAAATACCTATAAACGTGAGGTTCAAGTCTGATTCAAATCTTGTCTCTGCTAGGAACTTACTATTTCATTTTATTTCACTTAGAAGCATGCTTAGTATTTCAAAAAGTGGTGTCAATCAGTAGGGAGCATCAGACATGTATCAGCCATCCCCTGCCTCCAGTATTCAATATGGGGCTAAGGTGCAGAGGACTACGTTACATGGGTGGTAGAAGGATTAAAACAATGTATATGGGATGATTTTAACATGCACATATGCGAAGCATGATTAGTAATCCAAGGGAAGGGTGAGAAAGGTGCTTCTTTCACCTGCCAATTATTCCTCGGAAATATCCTCCAGGCTGTTTTTAACCTGGGTCCCCCTGCCAAGCTGGGCTCCAAGCCCAATGATCAGCCTGACTTTGGGAAACTATGGGTGGAGGAAACATTCACAGGGGAGAATCAACTCAGCAGGGCAGGGTAGGGGTGGGGAGTGGGGCACAGGCAAAATCCTCTTATGCTCACCAGTGCTTTCTTTTTTAAGAAAAAAGGTGCCAGTACTCACCATGAAGTTGTTACAGTAAGTGCCACACTTTTAACATGTGGGTGGAGGTGCCGGTACTGCGTACCCTTGGGTACCCCCAGAAAAAACAGTGCTGATGCTCACTGAGTCTTTTCTGTAAATGTATTCCCCTCTTTCCCTATGTTTAGAGGGTTTAAAAACAAGACACAACATGGCAGAGCATTCAGCTTAGGTAATCCTCCCTCTGCATTCCAGAATGGTATAGTCCTCCTAGGAATAGTACAATTATTCTACCTATGCCTGTCTCTTTCTTTCTTTCTTTCTTTCTTTCTTTCTTTCTTTCTTTCTTTCTTTCTTTCTTTCTTTCTTTCTATGTTTGGCAGCAACTTGCAGGGTATATACCCAATACTCCTGTGGTTAAAAGCCTTTCACTCTTTTTGTTTGTGTGTAAGCATATCCTGGGTTCACACCTTGAATATTCTGCATTGGGCTGGCCACCCAAATCAGAAATGATGCAATGGAACTGGAAAAAAGGCCATAACCCCCAAATGCCATCATCAACCCCAAAGGTCCCATCCACGTCACCACTGTGGTTTCACCTTGACCTAGTCGCTGTGAATTCTGCTGCTCCTGCTGCTGTTGATGCCTTCGGGCCAATTTCTTCATCTGAGGAAGAAAGGAAAATCAGGACTAAACAGGGGCACATCAATCAAATTCTCACACTGGCTGGCTAGATGCCTGTGGGAAGCCTGCAAGAAGGACGGAGTGCAACAACACACTCCCCTCCTGCTGTTTCCAGCAACGGGCATACAGAGGCATACTACTCTGACAGTGAAGGTAGAACATAAGAAGAGCCCTGCTAGGTCAGGCCAATGGCCTGTTTTAGTCCATCACCCTGTTCTCATAGTGGCTGACCAGGTGCCTGTGGGAAGCCTGAAAGAAGGACATGAGCGCAACTGCACTCTGCTCACTTGCAATTCCCAGCTACTGGTATTCAGAGGCATGATGCCTCTGACAGTGGAGGTAGAACATAGCCACCATCTCCAGTAGTGCAAGAGTGTCCTTCTAGCAGTAATGCAGTGATATTGGGGAAGCATTGCACAACAACAAATAAAGTGGAATTGTGTGTGGACTAATGTAAAATTGTGGTGTCAATTGCATTTTGCAGAATTCCCCCTTAAAAAAAAAAACCAGCACACCAGTCTGGGGCGGTCCTAGGAGAGGCAATAGATGTGATTCACTGTTCCTCTTCCTATGTATCCAGTGTTACTCCTACTCATACTAGACCAATTAAAATAAATAAATACGGCCAATGTAGTGTCTTAACTTGAATTCACATATTTCCCTACCTCCCCACTCTGACTACCAACCCCGGAACTATTTCTGCTTATGGAGCTTTTGCTTCTCACTTTGGGAAAAGTTAAGCAGGGGCTGCTCAGGGTATGACACAGGAAGTACAACAAAGAAGGATGCACAAGTCACTTGTACTTCCTGTCCTCCACTTCTCTCCCCTCCCCCATCCTGTAATATCTATTATGCTTGATTGCCATATTCCATACCCCTCAACCGTCCCGATTTTCTCGGGACATCCTGAAATTACAGAAGCTATCTCAGCTTCTGATTGGATTCTGGAATGTCCCATTTTTTGGTGCCATGGCTCCTGCGAGAGCACAGCACCAAAAGAGGCAGTGAAGGACCTTGTGATGATGACAAGAAGGAAGGGTGGAAAGAGCATGTGTGTGAACTTGCATTTCTCAAGGTGTGGGGGGAGAGGGAGAGGGGAGGGGGAGAGAAATCCGGGCGATGGTCACGTGGTTGCACAGTAGAGTCGTGCATCTCTGGGCGGAAGGAGGAGGTGGCAGCAACAGCAGCAGCAGCAGCAGCAGCAGCAACAACAACAACAGCAGAATTAGTAGTCGAGCCAGCTTGCTGAGGTCACATATGGCAGTGTTACCCACTACCGTGAGTGCTTCCTTCCTCACACGCCGCTGTGTCGGCCCCTCCCTCCCCCCCTGAATGGGAGGGGAAGGTGGTGAGTTAGAAAGCGGCTGAGGCATCAAGAAGGGAGAGGAGCACGGCGGAAAGAATCCCAGCGTCGCTCCAGAAAGGCGGCCATTTTGAGTCCCTCCTGCCCTGCGCCTCCTGTTGTGGTTTTGTTTTCTTTCGGGGGGTGTCTTCTGCCGCAGCCCCCATTCTCTCTCTCTCTCTCTCATAAGTTTGCTGTAGGAAAGGAAGAAGCATCCCCCCCTCCTTCCCCACATGTACCTTCACTCTTGGACCCCCTAGCTCTAACCCACAAAGGGGAATGTTTTTTTGCCCTCCCCTCCCCTCAGCATGCTGCAGCCTGGCTTAATAACAACACCATGCAGAGTGCTTAAGTTCTCTGTTGCATTGGGGGGGGCTCTTTCTTTTCTCATCCCTTCAGGTTGTGGCTAAGAATAATTTGCCCCACATAACATAACACCCGCCCCCCCCCGCCCCCCGATTTTATTTGGCAGAATGCTGGAGGGTTTGCGTAGTCTATGTGCTCCCCTCCTTCTGATGAAAAGCCAAATCTCTTCACCACAGTTAGGGTTGTCAACAAACCATGACCCCAAATGAAATTAGATGCAAATGTGTGACAGATATTCAGAGGGATCCATGGGAAACCTAAAGTGGTTGGATAAGATTCGCAAAATGTTCCATCTTTAATAAAAAATAAATTAAAGAGCATTTCTGAGCTCCACTTCAGCTCCTGGGTTGTAGCCAATATTAATCCTAGTCAGAGCAGGCCCACTTAAGTTAATAGATATGACCAGGGTAGGTCCATTAATTTTAAGTGGGTCTACACTGAGTTGGACTTGGTTGGTTAGAACCCGTTCTGTCTTATTGGTAGGCAGGACCTTACCTTTGCTCTTTGATTCTGAAACCACACCTGGACAACTCTGACACTGAGGCCTGTTTCAGCTGCTAGTGTCTCCCTAACCTGCAACAAAGGTAAAAAGGTGAAATAAGTTGTGGAGCTGAAATGGAAAGTTGCTGCAATCAAACAAAATGCCTAAATTCTCTGAGCCCTGCATTTCCAAGAAACTGCAGGGACATCCAGAAGAACAAATAACAGGTTCAATGCTAAGATTGTAGAGATGGTGAAGTTAATGAGACAGAAGAGGAGATGAGTGTTCAATGAGTCAAATAATGCAGAATCAATTTTATTTTTCTCTCTACAGTCTTTGGACCTACAAAGAATTGGCAGTGCTAACTTCGCCATGTCAATGTCTATATTGTACTGTGCTTTTTGGTAGAGAGGTCCCTGGCACGGATTGGCTGAGTGAATGTGATGTAATGGAATGTTCACAAACATTCTTCCTGGAAATTGATTTCTTAAAAAAATGAAATGTCAAAAAGTTTGGCTTCTGAAGAAAATGGGGAAGTTGTCCATTTGGAAGCTATCCAAAGTCACAAAGGACCTAGAGGCAGGAATAGTTTTATATTTGCAGACTTCAAAGTGGAAATAAGTCCACAACATGTACACACCACAAATTTAAAGTACACAGTTTCCCTCAAATAATCCTGGGAACTGTGGTTTGATATGAGTGCTGGGAATTGTAGCTCTGTGAGCGGTAAACTATAGCTTTTTTGTAGTGTAGAGCCATATGCTTTGTATGTGCTTTCAGTGCATGGTGTGTAAGCAGCCATAATCACTGCCAATGGGCAGCATCCTGCCCTGTATCAGAGGGCAGCAAGCTCAGTTAGGGAACACTTGCACCTGCTGCCTTACACAGCATTATCCGCCTCATTCTACCTAATGGTTGGGCTGACCCTAAACGTACAATTCTTTTAGCTGAAGATGCCAGTTGAGGTGTATGCTTTTGCCACAACCATGATACAGAATCAGATTGTGAATGGTGGTGTTTGAACAATGTCATCCTACCTTCCTACAAGGCTTGGAAGATACTTCAAATGAAGCTTTGAAAGCTCTCCTCTGCTGTGTTGTGAGTATCGTCCGCGGCCGCTTTGGTCTCCTTGGGTCCTTCCCGTCGTCTCCACCCTTCCCTGGGTTTGCTTGTCCTTTGGTCGGTTTCACATCCCCATCCTCATCATCACTTTTAACTATTGGTCAATTGCAAATGGAACAAATTAAAATACATGACCGCTCACACAGGACCACCACAGGTCCATCCAGTTAGCATCAGGTTTCTCCTAGTGACCAGCCAGGTGCTCCAAGGCATTGGTGAAGAACCTCAGGACCAGGGATCAAACGCAGCCCTCTACCTGGCCCTCAGAACTCTCCTTACACTATGCCACTCACTTGCCCTCCATCACATCCTCAATACTTTTGCCTGGCTTGAATGTTGTCTATGAACTCTGGTAATTCCTCCTGCTTGTAAAGAAAGGGGATTGTGAAGAAACTAGCATGACATATAAAGATAGCATCTACATTTGTTGCTCCACTCACTTTTGTCTCTGTCTCCTCCCACCACTGGAATGTGGCCCTGGTAAGGGGAATGTGGGCCTCAGGCTGGGGAAAAAACACCTCCACCCCTACCCCAAGGGAAGACTAGGCTTGCAGGCAATGGGAACTTTAGCTGGTTGTTTCTTAACCTATTCTATAGGAGAGTTGTACGTATGTCTCAAATGTCTCCCTCTCAGATTTAACTATTAATAACCTAGTAATAACTTTTGGCTCCAGGTGCCATATTCCAGCTTTCTGAGTGGCAGGAAAGTACTTCAGCTATTGTGTGACACACTTCATTTACCCACTGAGGAACAGTTATAATCTGTGGCACCATTAACATAGAACTTTGGGGCAGTTGTCTGGAACCCTACTCAGCAGCATAAACAGGAGGGCTCCCCAATTTAAGCATTTCTAACTCATCAAATTTTGAAGTAATACACATTGCCACAGGGGTACCTTTTTTAGCCTGGGGCCGCATGAGCAACATTTGTGGGGGGGGTTTCATACCAATGGTGGGTGTGGCCAGAGGGGGGAAGTGGGCAGAGAGAGAGAGAGATGTGCCTTTGACTTTTGTACAACAGACTACGGTCAAGAGAGCCCACGTGGTGTAGTGGTTAAGAGCAGTAGACTCGTAATCTGGTGAACGGGGTTCGCTTCCCCACTCCACCACATGCAGCTGCTGGGTGACCTTGGGCTAGTCACACTTCTCTGAAGTCTCTCAGCCTCACTCACCTCACAGAGGGTTTGTTGTGGGGGAGGAAGGGAAAGGAGAATGTTAGCCGCTTTGAGACACCTTGGGGTAGTGATAAAGCGAGATATCAAATCCAAACTCTTCTTTCAAAGGTACATCAATCTAGCTGGTCATTTAAGATACATAATCACAGTTCAAAGGACATATTCCAGCTAAGTCAAAGCACTCAAGTATGGGGTGGAGAAAATCTAGTGAGGTGGTTGGGGAAAGGTCTTGGCCTGGGGAGACTCCCAGAGACATTTGTCTCTCTGGCTTGAGGTTCCCAAACTCTACATTATTTATTTATTTCATTTATATACCACTTTTTCCTCCAAGGAGCTCAAGGTGGTGGGCATTGCTTCTCCTTCTGCCTCACAACAATATGGTGAGGTAAATCAGGCCGAGATACAGGTATTGGCCCCGAATCATCAAGTGAGCTTCCTGGTAGCATGGGGATTCAAACCCAGGCCTAGCACTCTTTCAGTTACACTACACTGGCTCTCATTATCGTCCAAAGGGAAAGAAAGAGAGGAGCTTTGCTCATTCGTTCCAGAGATTGAAATTACCTAGCCACGTGACTGATCACCATTTGAGAAGACTCACCTGAATCTGAGTCATCAGGGCTGACAGAGCTGAGCAAATCTTTCTCCTTTTCATAGTCACTCTTGCAGAGCAGCTGCCCCTCCTTCAGCACAAATTCATCTCCCTTCCTCAGCTGCCGCTCGCAGACACAGCAGCAGAAGCAGCTCAAGTGGTAGACACACTCCAGTGCCCTCATCACAAACTCTGTTGGGGCAATCTTCTCCATGCACCCACTGCATTTTGCAGCAAACAACCTATCGGAGGAAGAAGGGGAGAATACTCAGGTAACGAGGCCGAGGCTCCTAGCAGGATCCCAAGCTGGAATTCCAGAACATAAGAAGAGCCCTGCTGGACTGGGCCAAGCATCTTGTTTCTCCCAATCAGACGACTGTGTGAAACCCAGAAACAGGACCCGAGCACAAGAACCCTCTCCCCTCCTGTAGGTTCCAGCAATTGGTATTCAGAAATGTTTCTGCCTCTGACCATGGAAGAAGAGCACAGCCATTGCTGCTAGTAGCCCCTGACAGCCTTACCCTCCAAGAGAGGAGAAGACCTGGAATGAAAATCTCCTGGCATGAATTTCCTTGTAGAAGATTATATGACACCCTGCATGTGCATTCTGCAGTGCTCACATACATTTTAAACATTGCAATTATTATTGCTGAGAACAGAACCCCCCAAAGCTGCAATCTAAGTCATGTGTAGGATTCGAAATACATTTTTTAAAAAAAATGTATTGCATTTATGCCTTGCTCTTCCTCCAAAGAGGTCATCAAAACATATGGAGAGTACTCAGCAAAATCAAGGGAAAACCAGGAGTAGAATGGCTTGGAACCTCAATTCCAAGAGACAGGCCTAAGACACTTTGTTGGATACACAGCACTGGATTACTCAAGAGGCCTTAGGCAGCAGCAAAGCAAGGGCACAAAAAATGATTAAAAAAATAAATATTGATTTTTTTTATTTCATTTTTTAAATCATCTACTAACGTAGATTGGAATAGTGCAAGGAAATCAGATTCTGTTATGTGCTGCAATAAATCTATGCTTCTGAGTTATATGAACTTTGTTTTTTTTTCTTATCTACATATGCATATAAACATAAAAACATTGCGCATTGCATAATTTGTTTTTCTGTTTTTATTTCTGATCACTGAGATAAGAGACAGGATGAAATGTAACCAATAAAATGTTATTTTGTGGCTTTGTGTTGTTTTTATTTTGAATTACACAATCTTTTCAGGGCATGGGGCCTCTAAAGGTCTTAATCTGGCCCTGTGCATACAGTTTGTGTTTAGTTTTCTGCCACTGTATAGGAACTCCTTGGTGAAGCCCCTCATAAAACTATCTTGATGCATCCATAGAATCAGTAGTGTCTGGTGCCCACTGAGGCTATTGGAGTGGAATGAAATGACAGGTAAAATGATAGGCAGAGTCTGAGCCAATGAGAGGCAGAGCCAACAAATTATACTTTTGCTTCCATCCTCCCTCCCCAATGAATTCTACAAGGGCAACCGTGAGACCAAGCATGAGGAAGAAGCTGACAGGTAGCGCCGCCACCCCCCGGACTGGTTTTCAAGAAGAAGGCATACAGCTGTGGGCTGTCTGAGGACAGATTGAGATTGGGGTGGGGCTAGTAACCCTCTTGCCCTAGTGGACAAGCCTCCATTGCTTGCCCCAGGACATACTGAGAGGGAGAGGAAGCATCTTCCAGCTTTTGGTAGCATCCAAGCATGCTGGGACCCCATTCTTTTCTCTTTTCCTTGCATATGCAACCAAGGAAGTACTTAAAAGGATTAAAAGCGTGCACAGATCTCCCCTGCCCCGGCTCCCTAAACCGATTGGGCTCTGTTTAATGAAGCTTGCCCCTTGAACTCAAAAGGGGCGTGGGGAAGACAGGATGCCTTCAAAGGGTTTCAAGAGGATCAGCGCTAATGTAAAGGCATCTGCAGATGGGCAGTCCATTCAGACCGTTGCAAAACCGATTGCGCTTCAGTAACATTCAATGGGGTGAAGGTAATGAGGGGTGGAAGCAGGCTGATGTTTGGCAAAAGCATTTGGGGAGGGGAGAGAAGCTTTCAGGTGGGGTGGGGGATTCATCACGCTGGGGGGAGGGGGAGGAAGGAGGAACATTGTTGCTCCGATAAGCTTTCTGTTGTTTTTATGGCATTTTGTCCTTTCCACGGATGATCGTCCAAATGTAAAGTAGGAATGCTTTCAAGCAAAAGGCATTTATTTAACCCCTACTCCCCAATGTAGGACCCAGGACATGACCCAGCCAAATCTGAGTGCTTTCACTGTCCCAGTGAGTCCTTGACATCACATAGCAAAGGAGGAAATCCACAGAGGGATGGAACAAACAGTCTATATCCAGGCTGTTTTGCACATGTTCATAAATGTGTTCCAGTCCATTTAAAATCATCATCATCATCTGCATGAAAATTCATATTTGCATACCTCTTCATATTTAACTTCACATTTAAATACAAAATGTGCATTTCTAAATGTATTTTATCCTTAAAAATAAGCTTTTTACACACACTTGAATATTTTTTAAAGCAAAACAACTGCTTGACAAATTTCAGTGATGTGTGAATTCTGAAAGATAAGAGTGTTCTAATGTAAGTATTCATTTGTAAGGGGTGGATCTGGTCTGTTCCATACTGGAATTTGCAAAGAATTAATTTCTCAGGCATCCATTCAGAAAACAAATTTCATTTCAGCCTGAACAGGTGCAAAGAGGAATAGGGTTGTATCCAACTAACTTCAACTCAAGAGTAGGCCCATTAAAATTAATAGACTTAAATCCATCATGCCCCTCTGTTTCAACACTAACCCTGTTGAAGGCTAGTCCTAGTCTAGACTAACACTTGATGCTGCCTATACTTGCCACAAAGACAAAGGATTGTAGCCAATGCTAGTCCTCCTCAGAGTAGACCCACTGTACTCAATGGACATGAGTAACTTAAGTACATTCATTCCAATGGGTCCTCTCTGAATAGGACATGCATTGGATGAAACTAGAGAAGGGAAAACCTGTCAATTTTGATTTCTCTCATTCTTCCAATGCTTGATTCTCCATATTTCCACATGAGTTTGCAATTAAGATATAATAAAAGTCCGCACGAAAATTCACATTTTTTATTAATATTTTTCCTAATATTAAACACTTTTTAATGCAGTTTTAACTGGTATACTCTTTCTTTGCAGAGCAGTCTTGATGCTACTTTAATAAATGTATGCATATTTATACACACTTCACTCTAGAATATGATTTTTTGCACCTATTTGGCTGGAGAACTGCATTGCAAAATTCAGAGATGTGCGAATTTTGAAGGACTTTTGCGTTTCAGTTCATGTATTGTTTTGGAAAGTGCAAATTACATCTGTTCACCTAGAAAGATGAACTGAATTGACTCTCTCCCTCCTCCTGAGGTACAACCCATTACACTCAACTTTTGGTTTCTTGTGGATATAGAAAACAAGGGTCTGTGATAGTCTAGGAAACCTCCCGCTTTCAAAAATACAAGCAGATCACCAGGAGCATCTTTCAGCCCACCCACATCTGCTCCCTTGTTGAAAAAGAGTGGGGCAGCCCTACATAAGGAAAGGGATATTTAATTCAGTTCAGCCAGAGGAAAATACTTTTGGGGGGCCTTCTTTGGGACATCAAAAACACACACAACAGGAAACTGAGCTTGACAAATGACCTGACTTTGATATCTCTTGATCAAACCCACAGCTCATTTGATGGCTTAGCATTATAAACACAAGGCAGTAAACCTGTTGAAGGCTTAGGATGGAAGTTGAGCAGATGACCCATGTACAGTTTTTGAATCAAAGCAATAAATCTGAGAGCAGCAGAGCAAATGGTCTGATCAGACACAACAGTGTTCTCCCTACCCCACTCTGCTTGCAGATTCCTCCCCTGTAAGAAGTGTCTGACTGGATCAGATCAATGTTTTAGTGTCAAGAGTTGAAAAATGAATTGCTTCATTGCGTCTTGATTATGAGAAGTAATGTTCCTTATCGTAGGCTTTGCAGATAAGCTAGCATCTTGACTACTGCATCTGGTTCTGGGTGCCAAATTTTTAGAAAGATGATAAGCTTCAGGGCAACCTTCTGGGGATCACACAACTGGTGGGGCAAAAGGCAAATGTAGGCAGGGCAACACATGCAAATTTAATGCTTGTACAGCTGCAAGGTGTCTGTCTCAGGTTCTGGGCACTCAAAATGTGGAGCTTCCATTTAGTTTTCATGCCTAATGGTCATTGGCTGATAAAATTGGACCCACCCCTTTTACAAGGTATAGAAATGCAAAAGTGAGTTGGGGGTGGTGCAGAGCACCCAAGAGCTGCAGTGGAGTCTGTGCATTAAGACTGACTCACCAACCTCACACTGCCCTTAGCTAACCCCTACCTGCCTGCGTTCTTATTTTCATCCTGTCCAGGGGATGGCCCTGACTGTCACACTCCTCTTTAGTGCCAGTGTTGCCCTTGCAGAACTCAGCAAAGAGGAGGAGAAGCAATAAAATTAGTTAGCTCTGCTTATCATTGGCTCAGGCTCCATCAATGGTTGGTCTCTCTGCCTTCTGCTCTAGCTAGCTTACTAAGCAACAGTCATGGCTAGTAAAGAGTAAAGGGAGATCAGTGGAGGATGCTACAGAAATATGATGCGCTTTTGAATGTTCCTAGGATGCCTGACAGCATGGAAAGGAAGCCTCTGCAGTCTGTGTGGCTACAGGTGGATTGAGGCCACTACACCTTCCTGCACCAGGGTACAGCCATCTGGCATTTTGTACAGGACAGCTGATTTATTGCCTCCCTAGCTTGTTATCTCACATTTAAATTCGACCCCGTTCTGCTTCCCTCAAATCACCATTCTGCACTGTTTACTCTTACAATAATGTCCAAACAACCTAACTTTTACCTTTTCAATCACCTCGCCTGGGTCTTTAATTTCCTCCTGTTTGTGGGGCAAATAGATTGTAATGGTTTTCTTATAACTCATTTACTATGCAGAGAGAGATAACCAGCCGTACTGTGTCAGGTTTGCTGTTCACATTAAGTGCGGTTCAAGAGGTTCACCAAACATCGCAGAGCCGTAACAAGGAAACAATTCAATGCATCGTTTGGCCATTTCTGCAGGCAATATTACAGAAACTATGATGAAACCAGATTTCATTCCTGCTTGGCCCACCGATTGCAACCTGTCAAATTATCGAGGATTTTAAATCATGTTTCCTTGATTTAATT